TTTTTTTAAACAGGTGTCCAGAAAGAGAAAAAAGAGAGAAGAAAAAAGGCGTCCTCGTATGTTGCTCCAATTTTAGCAAATATCCTGGGGTGAGGTCCCACCAGCAAAGAGGATTGGATTAAGCTCCTGAAAATCTGGACATCTTTTATGGGTGGATGCAGAATGGCAGTTCAATCTTGATTTTCTGCACCTCGCAAAGAAAACGTCCAGATTCAGGCATTCTAGTGAACCCTTCAGCGTTAACGTAGTATGCTAAAACTAAGGTCGCTGGTTTTTCTTTCATCACACCACTTGGCAACCAGGTTTGTCATGGACAGGGATTTCATCTCATGGCACTTGAACTTAGCTCCTCGGTCCATTATGAGCTCCTCGACCCATTATGAACTTCCTCGCTAAGGGATATCGAAGGTAATATTCCTACATTTTCAACAACTCTTTTCCTATCTATATGAATTACTTTGCCAACCACAAACTTTATTGGGTTGTATCTTGCATAAAGATACAATTATGTTCATAAACTTTTTATGGTGTCATTAACAAATCAAGGTGTACAACGGTACTGAGTTCCTTCACATATCTAGGGTTTAGTGGTTCTTTAAAAATCAAGTTAGATCACTCCTGACAAGTTATAGATAAGCAGTATTTTTATGTCATATTAGTTAGACAAACAATCCCACTCGTATAACTTACGTATCTTTTATAATGTAAATTAAGGCGATTTATGCTCTCCTACAAGCTAGTTATGAATGGCAACTATGATAGTAATTTGTCTCTCCTCACCACACACAATCCTCTTAGCAGCTTCGTCCATTGACCTTTTGAAGAAGTGTTCATTCCTTACTATATAATATAACCTCTTATTCCTAACATTCGCACTAACTTTTTCATCCTTCTTCTCCTCGGTGAGGAGTAACCTAATGTCCAGGTAAGTACCCTCGTATTCTTTTGTTCAATATTTTGTAACTTCATCATTATTTCTCTCATGCTGACTTCGATATTCTCAATTCATCCTCCTTGTTTGCAAATGCAAGAGAGAGTTAGCCGAGAAGTACAAACTTTTCGCCAGTGTCTTAACTTGTTGGAAATTTGAATTTTTCTTTGATGATGAACGCGCCCTACTTCATTTAGTAAGAATCTACTAGTGCAAGTTTCATCATGCATTTCGTTATGTATATACCGCAAGGATTATCCCCAATTAAGATCTCATCTCTAATGACCGGTCAGGCAATTGCATGTACTTAGGTGGCGAAATCCAAAGCTCATGACTATAACTTACATTATAATTCCTAAATCGAAACCGATCATGAATTACTATGGATTTTTATATCTTTTTCATTTACAAACTTGGGCTAACAACCAGGTCGTCCGGGTCACCTTGGTGGCCCTGGCAAGGATCAAACAAGGTCCTTGCAAAATAAAAAGGGAAAAACACCAAAATATTCGAAAAACAAAACACTATGTTATGTACAAATATAAACTATACAACTTTGTTCCAATGTCAGATTGAAAATTTTTACCTTTCCCTCCCCCCGCCCTCCCAGCCAGGCAAGTAGTTCCTAACTATTATGGTAGGCAAAAAATACATTAATTGTTTTTTTGTTTTTTTTTTGGCACATTACTATCCTCATACGACTTTAACTATCGGTCGTGTTCCTCTGCTCAAGAATATGTTCCAAATTGAATAAACTATCGATATATCTGGGTAGCGCGGCATACACGTACGCGGGCTCCGCATACATGTCGCATACGTATGCTCACGTACTCAAATTTAAGGCCCGCGTATGTGGTCACAGCGGGCCGTTTCTCGGGTTTGTCTTGGCCCGGTAGGGGTTGGGGGGTGGGCGTTGGGATTGGTTGGGGTGTGTGTGTGTGTGTGTGTGTGTGTGTGTGTGTGTGTGTGTGTGTGTGAGAGAGAGAGAGAGAGAGAAAGAGAGAGAGAGGAAGCTTCCTCCTCCTCCTCCTCCCGATTTTCTTCGTCGTTTTGGTCCTCGGCCCGTGGTACTGTCTGGTTGTCTATTTGTCCAGTACCATGGGCGGAGGAGGAGGGGTAGTAGGAGGAGGAGGAGACAGACAGACAAACAGACAAACAATACGACGGGCATAGGACAGACAGACAGACAGAAAGGAGGGGGAGGACAGACAGTTAGACAGACAGACAGACAATACCACAGGACGGGTAGAAGAAGGGGTAGGAGGAGGAGGAGACAAACAGACAGACAGTACGACGCGCGGAGAACAGACAGACAGATAGACAGACAGACAAGATGGGGAGGACAGACAGGAGGGGGAGGACAGACAGACAGTCAGAAAGGAGGGGGAGGACAGACGTACAGACAGACAGACAGTACCACGGGAGGGGGAGGACAGACGTTCAGACAGACAGACAGTACCACGGGAGGGGTAGGAGGAGGGGTAGGAGGAGGAGGAGGACGAAG